GAGGCGGAGCGCTGCCTGCGTGGAAGATGGGGCTTGGCACGGCGACCTGCCACGCGCCGGGGCTTCCTCTGTGAGTTACCGCCCAGCAGCGAGTTGGCGAATCTCAGTGCCTGGCGGAACGGGCCCAGCCCTTTCCGACGCAAATGTTGAGGTGTTCAAGGAAGGTTCATGCTTAATGCAGACACTCTTAAATCCTGAAGGGGTGCTCAGTGACGTCACCCCTGAAGAGAGGTCCTCATGCAGAGGGGCCCTCTTTGGGTTCACTACCAGAAGATGACTGTGCAAAGCTGTTCCCAGAGGAGCAAAGCAAGGAGAAAATTAGGCAAATAACTGGGTCAAAGTTGTAATTACCATAAGTGTTTGGAAGGTGCTTCCGATGTTTTTGCACCTTCCATTTTACTGCATGCTATGGGCCACCCTGAGCTAGAGGATCACTGCTGGACTGAGAGTCCAGGTGCCAGAGGAAGTGATGGTAGTGATTCAGGAGATGGCACTTTTCCCACTTTGCTGGTTCATTGCCTGTACTTTAAAGGCACCGGTGTGGCAGGAGTTCCTGGCCTTTCCTGCCCTGCATAATTCTATATGAAGCATGTTTGAAGTTTTGGTGTTGGCACTGTGAGGGTCTCTTGTTACTGACACACTTAGCTATCAGTGAAATGCTGGAGCATGTCTGGCTAAAAGTCTGTCAGTTGACGTGCAGTTTCACGGTTCTCCTTCTTACAGTTATATTAAAGCCTGTGGTAATTAAAAAAGACAGATTTAGTACACAAATGCCCTTCTAAACTCAAAACTCAGAGGTAGGATTTGGTTGCTTCGTCGCTGACTTTTAGTTACTTAACCACAATATTTTTCTTTATTGGTTCTGAATTGATGATGTTACGGACAGATAATGAAAGGTTTCATTGGTCCCAGCATTGGTCACACTGCAGGAGAAATGAGAAGATTTGTATCTCTTGCCCTCCTGCAAGCTGCTCTGAGTATAATGATTCATACTAATAACTTGCATTAATACCGATTTGCACCTTACAGTCCCTTTGAAAAGAAAACAGTGCTGCCAAAAGGAAATTGGAAACTGCTGACCATGTTTAATTCCATTCTGAACTCTTTTGGTGTTATATATATGTGACAAATGTAGAAATAAACACAACCAAATATCTACATATGGATGCACACACACTCTCGACGTGGAGTTGCATCTGCATGCCTTCAGTGGAAGCTTCATTCTCATTCAGAAGATCCTTTCAAGTTGCATGGGTATTATAAATTGTGCTGGGACACACTGCTTCCTACTTATAGACCTGTCATTCTGCTACTCCAATAAAAGGAACTGTAGTCATTCTTTATCTTTAAATGAATAAGAAAAAAAATGTAATCTCTGTAATATGACATTTTGCTTGAGTATTGACAGCTGGAGTCACAAAGAGGTTTCGTGTGTAATTACACAAGCAGTGTTAGAGGAGGGACCAGAGGCCAGGTCCTTCATGCTATGTTTGTCTGTCCTCCGCCTTCTCTGGAAAGTGTAATAGCTTTCCCAAAAGAAAAAGAACAAGCTAGCACATACTTGGCACTCAGGCTGTCAAGAAGGGAAGGGCAGTTCCCGGCCCTCTAAAGGGGACGAGGAAGGAGGGTTTGGGCCCAAGTCTCCCACCTTCTGGGTGTTATCGCATGTTCTCGCATGTCTTGGGCGTCCTTCGTCATCAGCTCCGTTCTGAGTGAAAACTGCAGTAGTTCCATTTCATGCAGAGCTGTCAGGCTGGCTTTACATGAGCCTGCTGCGTCAGGGGACGTGAGTGGGGAAAGCAAAATTAGAACTGACAAATCTCATTTCTTTAAAACATTTGTGCATGTGTTTCTGGGAAGAGCTGCATGCTTGATTGCAAAATACACTGATATCGGTCTGTTACCACACACTCGCAGCTGTGCAGTAACACCCCAGCCTGTAGTTAACTGAAGATAATGGCTTTTTGCTGTGAAGGTTTTGCATTTCTAAAAAACGATTTCAAATGTTAATCTGAAATATTATTAAGTGGTAAATTTTCAAACACAGAGGTATGGTGGGAAGAGCCAGGGATATGCTGATGCATAAAGAAATGGAAAATTCCAGTTCAGTACCGGGAGGGGCACTTTTTTTGGTAGTGGAGAACCTGTAAATGAAAAATATGGAATCATATTTCTAGGTGGAATGGCAGAAACAGTGTAAATAAACCAGAGGTGTTGCCTGAATGGTGATGTGCCCATGTAGTGATTTAATAACACTCGCATTCAGAATGCCTAGACACCCTCCTTGAAAGTTCTTAGGTAACTGCATGTATGTTATCGTGATGTTTTGAGAAGCCTGTACATCAGGCTGCTTCTGTTGAAATGTACTGAGATGCTTAAATTGCGTGGTGGCTTGTGTATTGGGAAAACAAGAAAAGCCACCATCGTGGAGGTAACATGGGTGCTGGCTTCCTTCTCTCACACGCTCCCTACTGCCCGCCGATCCTGGATTCCTTCCTTTCTGTTCCTTTGTAGGAGGACCACCAAAGAAGCAAGCTGACACTGGGGAGTAGAAGGCAGTGAGGGAAGGTTCCTGAACATAGATCTTATTTCTTTACCTGATCGTCATTGGTGTTAAAACTTTCCTTGGTCCGTTTGCAAGAGATCTTATTCTTATGCTTCTCTTGACCAGTACTGGTTGATTAACGGTGTCTTAAATGATCTGGACTAATGAACATTGTGGCAGTGGCATCCCAAATAATGTGTAAATTCTTTTGTTTGATTTCAGCACTGAAAAAACTATTGTTGCTTTAGCTGAGGGATCATTTTTTATTCAAAGGCCTGAACCAGGCCTGATACTGACTCCAGCACTGGATTGGCCATGGTGACTCTTTGTTCTGGAGCAGTCCCCAGTTACAATTGGAGTCCTATTGTCTTTGGAGCTGGTGTAGTTGTGATGTAAAATCTTTCGTTCTGATGATTTCAGAGGACTACAAGGGAGGCTGAGGATTGCATTTCGGAGCTCTCATTCAGCAATACAGTCTGAAGAGTGGTAGGTCAGGAGACGAGGCTGCAGCACGTCAGGTAGATGAAACCAAGGTCAGCACATTCACAGAGGGAAATGTTGTTGGGTCCCAAGCGCTGGGTTTACACAGGCTTTTTTCTTCTCCCAGCTCTTTAGCTGGGAGCTTTCTCCGTTAGCTGCTTTTGAGGAATTTGTCTGAGAAGGGAACTGTGCGGCACTGTGCTGGTGACAGTGACGACTGCGGTGGCGGTTTGGGAGCTCGCACATGCTGACTGACCAGCCAGTACACCGTAGATGTGCTGCCTGGAAAACCAGCTGCTACCTGTGCGTTAGTTATGCAGTATATAAAAGGTAGACTTTCTGCAGGTACAACAGCCATGTCTTTCCCTCCCAGAGCACTCCACAGTGCTGTCTGTCTTACATAGCTGCTGGCTTTGAGAAAAGTTACAAGAACTTACCTATTTTTAATACATTGGCTTGTCTCTTAAATTTTGTGGCAGTCAGTCAGAATTGTGGAGTGTTAGGGACCTGATCATGCAAATACATTCCATTGAAAAACAGACTCAGCAGATTACCACTGAAGTTAACTTGATCAAATACTCTAGACTACGTGTGTCTAGAGTAACATGGATGTAACAACTCATGGCATTTCTGTTTTCTCTCAGGTTGTGCCAAGGAATAAGCCAAGAAACAGCTTTCTGTATCCTAGCATGGCAAATGAAGAAGATGATCCAATTATACAAGAGGTAAAAGTGCACTGTGGCAGTGGTGACGGTACATGAGGCCTTTTTTTATTATTATTGTAGTTCTGGTGTTTTTAACATTGTTGAAACGTGTCATCAGCATTGGTGGTTGTCTTATAACCAGTGGCTTGCTCTGTGGAAGGAAATACGTTGTGTGGGCCAAATACATGGCTCATGATATCTGTTTTGCCAAAACAGTGGTGCCATGTTGACAGTTTGTTCAGGTTTTTCACCCCTTTTAACCTTCCCATGTCAGGTGGGGAACTTGTTTCTACCACTCTGTGTTTCCAGTGACTGTACTGCATGTCTCAGGGCTGTAAGAAAATCAGAATTACTTTGATGACTTAATAGCTGTTAAACCTGAAGCTAAAATATTTTGTGCCTTCTGCTAAAACAAGCAATTGTGCTCTGATTCTGGACTTCTTTAAAGGACTGCTATGTCCCAAAGAGTAGCCACAGTGTCCTGTTCACTTTATGTGTGGATTTGCACACCAGAAGTACAAGGAAGGGCAAGCTCATAAGAAGGCAAAAAGCCATGAGAAAAGAAGTGGGAATTGTCAGGAGTGTATCTAAAATGGCAGCTTCCATATATGATATTCATGAGAAGCCTGTGGATTTTTGGTGCTGGTGGAAAAAAGTGCTAATATTTTGGGATTTGGAATGTGGGTATCTCTTGTATAATTGCAGTGGGTTGACCATGGCTGTGGGCCAGGTGCCTGCCAAGGCCGTTCTATCACTCCCCTTCTCAGCTGGACAGAGGAGAGACAATATGATGAAAGGCTTGTGGATTGAGATAAGGACAGGGAGATTACCGCGATGGGCAAAACAGACTCAGCTTGCGGGAAAAATTAGTTTAACACCAATCAAATCAGCGTAAAAAAAAATCTTAAACCACCCTCCCCTCACCCCTCCCTCCTTCCCAGGCTCAAATTCCCTCCTGCTTTTCTCTACCTCCTCCCCATGAACGGTGTAGGGGTATGGGGAGTGGGGTTGTGGTCAGTTCATCACACGGTGTCTCTGACGCTCAGGGGAGGATCCTCACACTCTTCCCCTGCACTAGCCTGGTGTCCCTCCCACAGGAGACGGTCCTCCACCAACTCCTCCCATGTGAGTCCTTCCCACGGGCTGCAGTTCTTCACGAGCTGCTCCAGCGTGTGTGTCCCCCACGGGCTGCCATCCTTCAGG